GTTTTTAAAACATGAAAACGGGAGCAGAAGTAGAAAACCGCTGCTTATTTGAGACAACTTCCTACCTTTTGCCAGCTGCTGGTTCTTCTGTGAGATATAGAAGTGAATGTAGAGCTCCAGATGTGAGACGACTGCGCTGTCTTTCAGTTCTCTTCCTGTGCCGTAGGAGTAGGAGTGGCCTGAACTTGTGCATTACATAAGGCCGACCACATGGCTATGCTTCAGAGCAGTGATTATGTGGAGAGGAAGGCGATCCAGTGACTGCTATAAATACTAAAGGTCCAGTGAGCTATTTTGGCTACTCACTGTGTGAGTCTGCTGCATTGAAGGGCTGCTTTTTGTAACACGTTAATTTAATTATGCAGATTATTATCATGTTTCAACCGATACATCACTGTCTCTGTTTTGATAGCCTAGCCTATGTTCCTGCAGACGTGACCTTTCAATTATAAATCATCTGACGTCATAGTCAGCGTAAATTATAGTTAGGATTGAAACACAGGAATACTTAAAATTGCTTAAGATTTCATCAAAAGTCAGAATATGTTACAAATGAAGAAATCATATCTCATATACAGTGGCTTGCAAAAGTATTCGGCCCCCTTGAACTTTTCCTCATTTTGTCACATTACAGCCACAAACATGAATCAATTTTACTGGAATTCCACGTGAAAGACCAACACAAAGTGGTGTACACGTGAGAAGTGGAACAAAAACCATACATGTTTCCAAACAATTTTACAAATAAATAACTGAAAAGTGGGGTGTGCGTAATTATTCAGCCCCCTGAGTCAATACTTTGTAGAACCACCTTTGCTGCAATTACAGCTGCCAGTCTTTTAGGGTATGTCTCTACCAGCTTTGCACATCTAGAGACTGAAATCCTTGCCCATTCTTCTTTGCAAAACAGCTCCAGCTGAATAATTACTGAAATAAATCATTTATATTTTATATTAAATCCATGAAATTTAACATCAAATAAAGAAAACGGGTTAATGAGATCAGAAGATGTTTGAATGGCTTTGCTTTCGTAAGTGAAGTGTAACCAAACTTCCTCATTGTCTTTTCTCGCTTTCATCTGAGTTGTGATCTAATCTTCAGGCCTCCAGAGCACAAAACAACTGTGCCATTAAACACACGTTTATGTTCATTAAAATCTGATTAATACACATAAAGCTAAGAAGGTCTTTTCAGCTGATTTTGCTGTGGTTCCACAAAGAGAGCAGGCCATAGTGAAAACATGGGGACCATGTAATCTCCTCTAATTTACTGGTACTACCAGTATCAGTACTGATATCAGTCATGACTCTTAAACAAATCATAGGTGTCATATGTTGTGACTGCAGTCTGCAGGAATTATCTATGTCAGGTGCAGCTGGTCACGTGTACGCTATGGTGAAAGGCAGTTTAGTTTTTTCATAATAAAGCTCCGTTGGATTGCACCCTCGTCATGATCTCGTCAGCACGTTTGAGTTTAACACGTAAGGCCCAGGAAGCAGGTTTGTGTCTCCAGCAGGAATCAACCCAGTGCCCTTCTGCTTACTAAGCAACCATGTTAACCACTACAATCCAGAGACACCCCCAGCTTTAAGTGTTTTACTGGTGTAACGTTTTGCATCATGAACACACACATTACTCTTTTTGCTGATATGTTACTTCATTTAAGAAAAATGCCTAACTAAGTTTGTTACATTTCGGTATCAAATATCAAAAGTGCCTCTTCAGTCTTTTCATTTTTTTCACTGCAGATGTGAAAGCACCCTCCACCTCAGGAAGGAAAGGCAGAGGAAACAAAATTAGACAGCCTTGTCTCACAGCTGTCATTTTCCAGCTCTGTCAGGTTGTATCACATGAATATGACACGTGGCTCTGCTGCATCATGAACAGTTTTGTCCTGGCCCACTGCTCTATCTCATGATTTCAGATAAAACACACAATGGCCATGACATTTTGGGTTAGGCATTCACTTTTTATGGTTAGGGTTAAGGTTAATGAATAGGGAAAACTTTATGTCAAGCAGTGTCCTCAAACTTCCACAGCTCTCAACACTTCTTACTTGATCACATGCAATCATGCGAAACCACTTTGTGAGCCAGATATTAACACGCAGTCATATGTAATCAAGAATCGGCACGTTTGACATTCAGGTGTTTTAATGTGGTGTCCATGTTGACAAGTTAGCTGAAAACAAACACATAAAGAGGACGTATAGCACCCAAACCCTCGATGGAATAACTAAATGCACATAAATAAAACTGATTTACAACAAAATCTGCTGATTTCAGTTCAGAGCCAGAAATGTTCAGATATCGTGTATTTTATACAAATAAAACCTGCTTCAACTCTCGTGTGCGTTGTTATCAAATTTTCTTCAATTCTTAGGTTTTAGTGAAAAATAAAATAATTTTAATTAAGATTATTAATGTGCCAAGTGACGTGTGCTTACAGTTCAAAGAACAAAGTGAACGAGATAAAATACCGCCCACTGTGATAAAAACAACAGAATGTTTATCCCCCAAAGTATTTACATGAGTCGGTCATATATTCCAGCCATGCATGAGCCATACCTGAAAAAAACCCCAGCAAAACTGCATATTTACACCAACTGCTCCCTGTGCAAACTGAGGAAATGTCATACGCCAGACAGAAATGGTCCGGGCAGCAGGTGGCTTCTCCTGTGTCCAAGTCCCTTCGCTTTTTTTATAAGCTGCTCCTTCTTCTTCTTTTAGCGTTTTGTAAATGATAAAGTAAAAACATGTTGCTTCCTCTCCCCTGAGGAGATGTGGATCAGCAATAAACTCACTGATGAGAGGGACAGTGTTTGATGTTGCTGTGAGCTAGGGCACACTCTGAGGTGACAGCAAGGACTCTTCTTTCTTTTCTGCTTCTGAAGTCGAGTTCATAGCCATGTCTTGTTTTTCCTCTTTTTCCTTCTCTGAATCCTTTGTCCTGAAACGTCAAAGCGAAGAATTATCCCCACTGATTAATCGCACATACTTCAAAACTTCTCAGATAGTTTTATTTTTTTTTAAATGTCAGTGTAGTTTATCCAGAAGAGGTCGCTCCTTGTCCAAAAATACAGCTCAGCCCTGGTAAGGCTCCATTATATGATTAAAAAACAAAAAAAGAAAACTAAAAATGATCAAACACGGGTGTTTTAGGAACCTATGAGGGCAGGGGATAAGTTAGTAGAGTCAAGAGAAAATAAACTAGCAGAGGGGGACATGTAACAAAGGATGCCCACTGGATTTACTGTGTCACTGTCACGTTGCAGTACAGCAAGAGTACATTTTTTTCATCCCATATTTTGGATATACTAATGACATTTTGCTTTAAATGTATATAAATATCCTTCTATCCCTATCCCTTTTTTTCCCACTTGAATTCAGGGTCACAGGAAGGAGCTGGAGCCTATTGCAGCTTTCATAGGGAAAGAGGTGGAGTAAACAAGCCCTCATTCATATAAATGTCCTGGCAGTTCATTCAGATGTCGTAACAGAAGCTTTAAGAATTTGTGGATATATATCCTGTCTTTCAGGTTGGTCGTGTCATATCAACTGCCATGTAATACTTTAAAACGCATTCATAGAGTTGAAAAGTTATGGTATAAAAATGTATTCTCTTTTTATATCATTTCCTTCCAGCTTTACTCTGTTTGGGAAACATTAAACATGTGATCTAATCCAACACAGAAGCTGTGTCAGGTTACTGAAGCAGGTTACTGGGGTTGACAAAATACTATTAACACCTTTCAGTAAAATGCATTTCAGTTCAGTTCAGGTTTATTTATAAAGTAGCAGATCACAACAGTAGTTGCCTCATGGCGATTTATATATCGTAAGGTAAGGAGCCTGCCATAATGCAGAGATCCCAATAATCATATAACTCGCTATGAGCAAATACTTTGGCAACAGTGGGACGTAAAAAACTTCCCTTAACAGGAAGAAGCTCAGGCAGAACCAGGCTCAGGCATCTGCTGTGACCAGAGTCTGGTGCATTACTTTGAGCCACAACAGATGTAGTAGAAAGAAAATGTTAATAAAATGTAATGCATTCAAGATTCATTAAAGTCACTAATGTGAAATTCTTATACTGTTGTACTGGATTATATCAAATTTTTAAATTTCAATAAACTTTTTTTCTTTTGTAAATATCGAGAACACGGACATCATCAGATTCCTTGCTTATCTCACGTTTAATAAGCAGCTCTTTTTGCTTCTGAGTGTGTTGTAGAAACACTACTTGGCACAAGAAAAAGAGTCCTTTGAAAGCAAAGAGGCAGGTTTTAAATTGACCTTCAGTTACTTCTATTCGGTCTACTTATGAGGCCAGGATTACACTCCCTTGTAGATGTACACAAAGACAGCTGCAACTTCATGGAATGCATAATTGTTTTTATAATACAACTTAGTTTGCTTGAAATCTGGTCCAGTCTAGAAAAACATGCACAGTTGGTCCCCTTATAGCTTCTGTGCAGAAATGTCAGTGCATTTAGAGGAAATCAGAGGGTGTGTCACCAGAAAGCCTTGATGTGCCATTCAGACTCTAGTGGATCCTTGTGTTCTCACGTTGTTATACGGGTAAATGGAAAGCTATCAACTTTTCGCAAGAGTGGCGAATGATGAAAAGTTTCCTGTTGCCACTTTAAATCAGCTAAACTTTAGCCAATAGAGACAGATATTCATATTCCTTCCCATGTAAATTTACAGAGACAGTCCAACACAGTCACATATGTATCCAGTGAGCATTAAGCACATTAGAAGACAGAGGACAGAACTCTAACACCTAAAACTTTAGGATTAAGGACTACTCTTCTTACTAATGACAGATGTTTAAGAAATTCTAACTGTACTCTGGAGGCTTTCTTGGAAGTTAAAATGTCTCACAGTCTTTAGTAGGTACTCTAAGAATGTCTAACTTATGAGGATAAGTTATTATGAATAGGTGGTTTAAAAAAGAATAAACTACATCTGAGAGGTTGAAATTAAAGTTTTGAGGTCAGGGGTCATAATTTTGAACAGTGACCTTGGCATAGGAGCAGGCCGGTTATTGTGCAGGACATCCCAGCTAGAGGTAGAGCTGTCACAAGATCAAAAGATAGAATCACATGACAGGAACAGAAGAACAAAACAGAGAGTTAACATTTCAAAGAGGCTGTATGCAAATGTTTTCTTCCCACTGTGCTCTCGTTAGTCTGAGGGACCGGAGATGAGATTTTAATGTAAAGTTTAAAGCAGATTAACAAAATTAAAGCTGATGGTTTCCCGAACTCCTCGAGGGATCTAATGGTAAATGGCCTGTATTTGTATATCGCTTTAATAATCCATTTTGG